TACAGAAAAGTGGAAAGGGAATCCCAGATGACAGTTGAGGGTTAGAATGAGTCCAAATTGGAGCTAGAAAATAGAACACTTCAGAAAGGAGGGACACTGCAGTAAAAACTGAATAGAGCATTGAGCATACTTAAGTATTTTGCAAGAAATATGGGTGTGTGGCAAAGAAAAGAAATTGGGGGAAATTCTTAGAATAGGTACACAGAAAACAGTGCAAAGGAAAAAGACAATTATTAACTCAGAAGAAAGTCATGTAAGTGGGACACCTGGCTGGCTCAGTCAGTACAGTGTGTGACTCCTGATCTTGGAGTTATACATTCAAGCTGAGTATAAAGATTACTTAAAAATAATCTTTAAAAAAGTTATATAAGAAAGGGAAACACTGTAAACAAAATGTATGTGACCATACCAGTCAATACACCAAGTGTTGATTTAGCTAAAAATTGTGAAATATCACTATTGTGAAATATCACTATTGGGAGGTTTGGTGAGAGGAAGTGATAGCAGTTAATATATAAAATTTTTACTGGAGGGGCTCCTGGGTAGCTCAGTTGTTAACTGTCTGCCTGGGTAGCTCAGTTGTTAACTGTCTGCCTTCGGCTCAGTCCTGGGATCAAGCCCTGCTTTGTGGGAAGCCTGCTTCTCCCTCTCCCACTCCCCCCTTCCTGTGTTCCTTCTGTCATTGACTCTCTCTCTCTCTCTGTCTCTCTCTCTCTGTCAAATAAATAAAGTCTTAAAAATAAGTAAATAAAATAAAATTTTTCTGGAAATACCAATAATATAAAACACTTTGCTTGAAATAGGCAGTAAATCTCATGAAAAACAGATGAGTGAGTTAAAAGTGGTTGTCTCTGGAAAAGAAGACTGGGGATGTTGAGGCGAAAGGCAAGGGTCTGTCACTTTTCATTATAAACTTTTTAGCCCTATTTAATTTTTTAGCTATAAGTATGCATTGCTTTGTTTATATTTTTAGAGAATTGAAAACTGGATAGCTTTCTACCATGTGATTTATTGTTATGTAATTCCATGTCAATATCTAAAACCATCTTTTTAAAAAGATTTTATTTATTTGAGAGAGAGAGAAAGCACGCACTAGTGGGGTAGGGGCAGAGAGACAAGCAGACTCCCCACTGAGTGTGGAGCCTGACTTGGGGCTCAATCCCAGGACCCTGAGGTCATGACCTGAGCTAAAGGCAGATGCTTAACCAACTGAGCCACCCAGGGAGCCCAATATATAATACTATCTTAAGTCACCTTAGCTTCCACTAAGGAGTTGGAGGCCTCACACACTCTATAGAACGTTTATGAATGGCTAGAGTTTCATAAAGAAGTGAAAAAGATGACCAGAAATATGGTGTTAGGGAATATGACTGTCTTTTGTGGGTGTGGCTGTCGCATGACTCCTCTGAGACCTCCAGCTGGCCCCCATACCGCACTACTGGCCCCCTGTCAGGTGGTTTCCAGCCCCCAGCACCCCTCACAGCCTGAGCATCTCCCTCCTGACTGTCGCAGTGGTCAAGACTTTGGGCCTTGTTTTCTTATTGAAACTCCTGTCTTCCTCTACATTTGAACCTGTCTTCTTTTTTTCAACTCTGAGCTTTGTTTTTCTCCCTGACTACGATTTCTTCCTATTTGCTATTGAATTCTGCCTCAGTTAGAAGTGCTATTTGGCTACGTGGAACAGGACCAGATATAGTGGCTTCATCAGCTAGCAGAGGACTGAGCTGGTGTAGACCCATCCCGGCATCATGCCTTTCTCTTTCTCCACTATCAGCCTTAGCAGATGGTTTATATCCTCATAGCTGTAGGTGGCTGCTTCACTGCGAGCCTCCCGTCTTCATTCCAGACCAGAAGAAGGAAGGGACAAGGAGAAAGTACTGGTACCTCTATGAGGAAGTCTCAGAAATCACCCAACACACTTGTGCTTATTTCCAGCTGGTCAGAAGCACGTCACATACCCATCCCTAATTTTTAGCTTGGCACATTGCTACCCTAAGAAAAATCTGAGCTCTGTTAGAAAATAAGTTCAGAAAAGGTATTAGTCAGGGAACTACAAGTTTTTGGCTCAAGCTCCTTTAGATTATGATCAATAGGTCAGCTGGTCTACACCAGACCTGGTCAAAGGCCTTTGAAGCCAGTGACCCCTCCAGAGTGGCCCAAGTGATACCCCAGGGTCTTTATTAGACATTCCACATGCCCCTCAAGTCACCTAGCAGACCTGCATCTGTATAACCTTCTGCTCTATAAGGAATCAAGGAAGACACTGGGGCAAAATTAGACCCAGGAAACATGAGTGCTTCTCAATCTAGGCACAGCCCTGGGAGACTATTGCCTTAAATTTTATTATGGCCCAGACCCACCCTGAAGTATCAGAGCAATGTTCCCCCCACAACCACACCTTTTTTTGTGATGACCCACAGGAATGACCCATGGACTAGAATGATCACACCAAGTACCAGTAAGTACTGCTCACCGGAGGAAAACATCCAAATAGCGCTTATCTTCCAGGCACATATGTACCACCCAAGTCCTCAGTGACACAGTTTCTGGCCCTTTCTAAGTCCTGAAATTATGAGCTGTATTGTCTTATATCTCCAGGTCACTTACCCATTTTCATCCATCTTACACTCCGCTACCCTTTACTGTACCCAGCCTGATTTTTTTTCCCACATCCTTACAACCATTTTCATGTTTCAACTTCAACTGACCCTTTGGAGGGTCAGGCAGTACTATTTTTAAATATTTATTTATAGTACATGCAGTACTATTTTTAAGGTTCTTATTTTTCCTCTCCACCATATTTCCTACTTACCTTCCTGCTTCTGGCTTCTTCCTGGTGTATCCTGACCCCCAGAAACTACAGCCTGGGAACCCTGGGGCCCTGCAAGCAGGACCCGGCCATCTGACTAGATGAGAAACAGGAAGGGGGAGAAGGGCAAGTGCCATGGGAAATAACAGAAGGATGGGTTGACACAGGCTCTGTGAATGGCATGCTAGGTATTTGAGTCTTATTATTCTGATCCCAATTTTGATGTGTGGGAGTAGGTTTCCCACACACCACCAAGCAATTCCCAAATACTAGCTGGGTGGCCTACAGTTCAACTCCATTCTGACCCTACCTACCGGGAGCTTAGCATCAGATTCCACAGGTTAAGGGCTCAGTCCCACAAGACTGTCCCCTCCCTACCACCACCACGTCGGACGTCAATAGCAAGTCCATATTGTTACCTGGGCTTCTGACTGACTGACCATAAAGCTGAGGTTCTCATGAGCCCCTCCTTGGGTTTGATTAATTGGCTAGAACGGCTAATATGACCCAGGAAACCAGTTTATTCATGATTGCTAGGTTATCATAAAGGATGCAAATCAATAGCCAGATGAAGAGATACAGAGGGTGAGGTCTTGAACAAAGCAGCACTGTCCTCATGGAGTTTGGAGCCCAGCATGGTGGCACGTGGAAACATTCTGGTTTCCCAACCTGGAAGCTCTTAGAGTCCCATCCTTCAGATTTTTATGGAGGCTTTATTACTTAGGCATGGTTGATTAAATCATTGGCCAGTGGTGATTGATTCAACCTCCAGCCCCTTTCCCCTCCCCAGAGAATCAGGGTTAGAGAAAGCTCTAACATTCCCTCTATGGTTGGTTCCCCTGGCAACCAGCCCCATCCTTAGGTGCTGTCCAAAAGTCTCCTCATTAACATAAACTCAGGTGTGGTGGAAAGGGGCTTGTTATGAATTACGAGGCACCCATTTCACCTTTACTGCTCTAAGGCATTTTAAGGAACTGAGAACAATGGACCAAATATTATATTTAAGTTTTCTTTTTTAAAAAAATCCAGTGGAGTTAACATGGAGTGTTCTATTAGCTTCAAGTGTACATTACTCAGTGTTCATCATGGTAAGTATACTCTAAACCCCATCACCTGTTTTACCCATCCCCCCCACACACCTAAGAGACCAAAAGATGCTCCCATTTCTCTTATTGGTCAGGAAATTCCAAAGGTGTGGGAGCCAGAACCCTGGACAAAGACCAAATATATATGGGAAATCTGAATAATCCAAATATATATTTCCTAGAAATCATAATATTGCTGGATTGTATTGGAAAATCAATTAGAAATCTTGGTTTCAAGTGCTGCAAGACCAACACAAACTGATCTTAGTACACACACACCAAACTGTTGACCCATAATATGACTAGAAGTCCAGGGGTGGTTCTAGCTACAGGTCCAGCTGGATTTAGGGGTTCAAGTAACGCTACCTACCTTCCTCTCCTGGAAGTTCTGCTTGTGCTGACTTTATTCTCAGGCAGGTTCTTCCCACACAGTGGCATTTTGGGCAGCACAGGCCATAAATTTACATTGTGCCGGTTTAATCTCAAGAAAGTGCCTTTCTTCTGATTTCACAGGACCATCATGAGTCACATGCACACCTGTTAACCAATCACTGTGTCAGGGAGAGTAAATCCACTAATTCACCAGATCCGGGTTATGTGCCCATCCACCCCTGGAGCATAGGAGAGTGGAACCCCAAAGTAAACTCAAGATTCTGTTCCAGAAAAGCTAAAATAAATGCAAGCTGGACAAGTAAAACCAAGAGAGGTCCCATGAAGATGAAGAGTCAATAAAGTATTAGAGGTGATGAATGACAAGATAAGAGTTTCACTTTCAGATGATTAATCTGGAAGTAGATTGCAGGATGGATTTGGGGGCAGGGAAGTCTGAAGCTATAAAGACCAGTTGGAAGATGACTACAATTATCTAGGTAAACATGTGAATTTAGGAATGGGAAAGAAAGGGCTGGAATGAGAAGTTATTATAGAAATAAATTGTTATGGATCACTCACATCAAGAAGATATAGGCAAAAGGTATTAGGTGAGAGGAAAGTTGCCCAGTTAATAAGAATGTGGGAGAATGCCCCTCTCAGAAGCTAAGACCCAATCCATCAAATGGAGTTGTGAGATATCCTACTGATTTACTACTATGTTCTTCCCCTCTCAGGTAAACTCCCAGTCTTAAAAATTACAGTCACTCCTCAAATATCTTCTGATACCTTCAGATCTATTTGGAAAAATAGCAGGAAATCTAGGATTACCAGTAAAAAGAAGAAGGTATGCTCTTGGATGTCTGTGTCTGTGAGTTGCAGCCACCAGGGGAGTGTGTGGATGGATCCTGGGCACTAAATTGGGGTCGGTGCCACCCCCAGCAGATTTTGCACTTGATAAAATCATGAGAATTTTGGTTCTAGGTAACAGTATCCCAAACCATCAGTCCATCCTAATGGATGATTGTATCAAAGGACAAGTAGTAGGAAAAAACATAGTTCCCTCAAAGGTTGGTGCAAACCTTGTCTCCTCTCTTCAGCTTTCCCACCCTCCCCTCCCCCCACAATCCTGGTACCTGTTAGCTTATTGTGGATTTGAAATGGTGAATTTACCTGAACTATTTATGAAACATGTGGGATCTATTAGGTGGTAGTGCTTTATATATGTTCACTCTCTATTGTATGAAGTTGAACTTCCTTTTTTCTTTTTATAATTTAGGAATTTTGTGTTCATTCTTTCACAGGGTAAAAACTGAATATGGATGTTCTATATCTTTATGGATGCTCTCTGTTTCCATGGCCAACTGGACATGTGTAGAAAGATCTTGTTTGTTCTATAATAAGAGTTTTCACTGGAGGGGCACCTGGGTGGCTCATTGGGTTAAGCCTCTGCCTTCATGCTCAGGTCATGATCTCAGGGTCCTGGGAACGAGCCCCATGTTGGGCTTGCTGCTCAGCGGGGAGCCTGCTTCCTCCTGTCTCTCACTCTCTGCCTGCCTCTCTGCCTCTTGTGATCTCTGTCTGTCAAATAAATAAACAAAATCTTTAAGAAAAAAAAAAAGAGTTTTCACTGGAGTCAAGCCCCTTTCATGTTCTAAAATTTGATGACTCATTTATGAAAGTTCAAAGTAGTGTTAACCCTATTATGCTCGTCATTTTTTAAAATGTGGGTTTCCCAGTTGGCCTTAGTAAAAATAGGTAGACTTCTTCTCTGGTGCTTCTCAAGTGCATGTGAAATTTAAAAGTTGAAGGAAGTCATGATCTTTATCTAAGAAACATTCTTCTTTCATAAGTATATCTATAGTTGGGAACAATAAGAATATTTGAAAATAACCACTTTCTGAAAGATGACATCCCCCCCCAAATGGGGATCTTCCACAAATGAGGAAACTTCTAATCACTTTAATCACTGCCCCCTCCACCCCAAATGAAGATGTCCTCCATGGGAAAGAGAAGAGGTGTGGTTGACCGATGTATGGATGATAAATTGGATTATCTGGAAGTTATATGCCATGACAATATGGTGCAGGGATGGAAACTGTGGACTGGGGAAAGAAATGGGCTGGAATTCTCTGTGGAAAACTGCTGCTTTCCAGGTGTGTAACGTTGGCCAACTCAGTTAACCTCACTGAGCCTCAGTTCTCCCTGATAAGAAACAGATAGAATAGCACCTGTCTCATATGGTGAGCCCTGAATGAGATGACACATGTCAAGCATTTTTGGACAATATTGTTTCATAGTAGTGCATGCTCAAATATAAATATTAGTGGCAGTTATTATTGATGTTAGAATTGAGTGACTCCAGTTATTTCACTTGGAAAAGCTACACAAGAAAAATAAAAAAGAAGAAGAAAAGACTTAAGACCTTTCTATTTTGAAGTAAAAAACAAAACAAAACAACCCACATGAAAAGCCAGTCTGTTGGGGTGCCTGGCTGGCACAGTGAGTAGAGAATGTGACTCTTGATCTCAGTTGTGAGTTGTGAGTTCAAGCCCCATGTTGGGTGTGGAGCCTACTCAAAATAAAAAGTAAAAAAAAAAGACCTGTACCCCTGAAACAAATAATATATTATATGTTAATAAAAAATAAAGAAATGAATGTATATTTTTTAAAAAAGCAAGACTGTCATTCATACTATGTACAAATCAAGTTCTGGCAAATCTGTGGAACCAAACTATCTGTGAAAGTGAGGATGTTTATAGTAAATTGTGTTCAACCTTTAATATCTTATTATCTAGCTAGGAAGACAGGATCCTCGCATGTTAAAAGTAAACAATAACAGAATATGAGAATTGAAATAATATAACATCTTCAGAACTTGTATATCCAATGTGTGAGGTCTCCTGAGAAATTGTACCTGCTTTAAAAAAAAAAAAGGACCTTTTTGAAATTTGCCACAGACATCCTTTCTGTGGGAGTGTAAAATCTGTGTGCCTCTTTACAAGTCTTTTGACATGGTCTATCAAAGTGAAAAATACATAACTTTTGACCTAGGTATTTGAGAAATTTATTTTACAAATATTCTCTCACACATGTGTAAGCAAATACTTATAATGATGTTTAATGCAGCACTGTTTGTTATACATTGAAAACAGCTTAACATCTCTCAAAGGATTCTCGGGGAAATAAATCACAGGGAATGTATGTGGTGTAATACCATGCAGCATCAAGAATAATGTGGATAAGGGAGGGCTTCTGTGGAAAGCTGTCCTACACATACTATTAAACAAAAAGAGCAGGCTGGAGGGGCATCTGGCTGGCTCAGTCAGTGGAGCAGCCAACTCTTGATCTCAGGGTCATGAGTTTGAGCCCCATGTTGGGTGTGGAGATTACTTATAAAAAAAAACATTTTTTTAAAAAGCAGGCTAGAGAATAATGTGTGTAAAAAAACTCATATGAAGATGCATTGATATAATAGGAGCCAGCGGGGCGCCTGGATGGCTCAGTGGGTTAAAGCCTCTGCCTTCGACTCCGGACATGATCCCAGGGTCCTGGTATCGAGCCCCACATCGGGCTCTCTGCTCAACGGGGTGCCTGCTTCCTCCTTTCTCTGTCTCTGCCTGCCTCTCTGCCTACTTGTGATCTCTGTGTGTCAAATAAATAATAAAATCTTAAAAAAAAATAATATGAGCCAGCAATCCCATTTCTGGGTGTATACACAAAAGAAGTGAAAGCAGGATTATGAAGAGATATTTGTATACTCAAGTTCACAGTGACATTATTCACAATATTCAAAAGGTGCAAGCAACCCTGATGTCCACTGACAGATAAACGGATAAGCAAAGTGTGGTCTATCCACACAGTGCAGTATTATTTGGCCTTAAGAAGGAAGAAATTCTGATGCATGCTGCAACAAAGATGAAACTCCAAGGCACTGTGCTAAAGTGAAATAAAACAGTTACAAAAAGACAAATACTGAATGATTCTACTTATATGAGGTACCTAGGGTAATCAAACTCAGAAACAAAGAGTGATGGTTGCCGGGAAAGAAGGGGAGATAGAAAGTATAGTTTTGGTTTTGGAAAATGAAATAGTTCTGGAAAGTGTTTGCATAACAATGTAAATGTCCTGGGGTACCTGGGTGTCTTAGTCAGTTAGGCATCTGACTCTTGATCTCAGCTCAAGTCTTGATCTCAGGGTCATGAGTCCAAGCCCTGTGTTGGGCTCCATGCTGGGTGTGGAGCCCACTTTAAAACAAAACAAAACAAAAACAACATAAATACACTTAATACTACTGAACTCTGCACTGAAAATGGTGGCAAACTTCATTATGTATATTTTATCGCAATTAAAAATTTTTAGGGGCACCTGACTGGCTCAGTCAGTAGAGCCTGTGACTCTTAACCTCAGGGTTGTAAGTTGGAGCCCCACCTTGGGTGTAGAGATTACTTAAAAGTAAAATCTTTTAAAAAATTTTAATGATTTTAATGTGTCTGTTTGTATATATGTAGAAACTTCTGAGAGTATTAACAACACTTGCTTTTTTCATTGCATACACATTTTACTATTTTAACATTTTTTATAATTTATGAGCTGTCAATTTTAAAAACTTGAAATTATTCAATAAACATCAGTAGCAGCACTTTTCCCTTGCTATGTGCCCCAGTGCCAAAAGAGTGGAAGAAATACAGTAAGTGCCATGATTTCCTGGAAGTATTAGAATATATATTGGCAAAGAGCGAAGATGAGTAAGTTTTCTCTAAGTGCAGAGAGCAATCCAGCTGGAGCAGGTAGGGGAAGTTCTTTCCAGTTTCAGAGATGTTGAAGTGTGACAAGAGGAGGCATCCTCTAGGCTTTCATCCTTTCATCTGACTTTCTCTCCTTTTCTCTTTCAAACTGGCCAGTTCCCAATAACTTGAAGTGCATTTTCTCCTCATCTGGTTCCGGCCTTCCTCCTTTATTAGATATCTCACATTTAGAACCATCTCTATAGTCAGATGTGTGGTCGTTTAATATGAACAGAACATGTTCATCTGGGTTTGTCCATAGGAATTTTATCTGGCTCTTCAACTTAGTGTGAGATTGACATCCGCCACCAGTACAGCTGCTCTGCTCTGACAGCTTGGACAGGTGTGCTCTCTTCACTCATATCCTGGGCTTGAGGGCTTCCCATGAGGAGTCTAGTCTCTTCCGTGAGGCTTTTCCTCATGGCATCAGTCCTCAGGGATATCTCTGTCCCTCACATCACTGAATATTCCACTCAACAAGCAGCGCACATAGCATCTAGCCAAATGTGACCCTGTGTCCATATTTCTATTTTTACATTTGTATGCATGCTTGTCCTCTGCCCAACTACTTGAGTTTGGCCTGGCGTGAGGACATGAGGGGAGGCTGAGAGGCCCAAGAAGAAGAGATGGGAGGCTTGGAATCCCAAACCCGACACTACAGGTGTCCACCACTAGGTGGTGGTGGTAATCAGTCATCTCCTAAGGCAATCGGTGCCTCAACTTTCTTATCGTTTAAAAATGAAGATGTTGTCTGCTTTGCTTGAGAAAACAGAAGAACATGACCCCAGGCCAGCAATAGAACAACCCAGATTTCATAATTGTCACCGTCACATAATAGCGGCGTTACTCGTACATATAAAAGGAGGTGGTTAAACTACATCAGAGGTTCTCAGAGCGTGGGCCCCTGAGTTCTAGGCATACTTTCAGGGGACCAACAGGTCAGAACTATTTGCATGCCAACATTCGGAGCTATTTCCCTCTTCTCACTCTTTAGGAGTATACAGGGGAGTTTTCCAGGAGCTACATTATATGCGGCACCATCGCTCTAATAACTTGTAATGAGTTTATTACTGTTACTTTTAAAATTGAGATCTCTCAAGGTAAATTTCTTAAAAAGCAAACATCTACATCTTACATAAAGGCTTTTGGAGATCCTCTAGTTTTTAAGTTTAACGGAGTGCAAAGTTTGAGAACCACTGAACCAGGTTTCTCAGAAGACCTTGGGAGGTCAGACGTTTCCTAGATACGGAGGACAGGGGTTCTTGCGTAGACACGGTCCCTGCTCTGATTGAGTTTACCGGGAGGGGGGAGCGGGTAACAGTTTTAGTTAACAGGATAATTTTTGAGAGTGGTAAGTTTCCCGAAAGCACACAGTAGGTCACCTGGTGCCTGCGTAGAGCGCTCCCGGGCGCGGGAGAGGAACACTGAGCAGCGAAGCGTCCAGGCTTCACACCGGAATCGCCCTAAAGGCCTTCAGCCCTCAGAGTTGCCCCAGCGAGCAGGGTCGTGCATAGTGGACAAGCGGCCTGGCGCTAGCGTCAAATGACGTCAATGGGCCGCGCCAGCCAATCGGAGCGGCCCCGTCGTAGGCGCCGCGGCGGCCCGTGGCCTGCAGGCGGCGCTGTGGCCCGCCGGGCGGCCCCACGGAGCCGCCATAGCCGCCCGCCTCCCGCGGCTTAACGTCTCCGTTGCCGGCTCCGCGTCGCCGCCATGGCCGACGTGGAAGACGGCGAGGAACCCTGCGCCCTGTCCTCTCACTCCGGGAGCGCAGGCTCAAAGTCGGGAGGCGACAAGATGTTCTCTCTCAAAAAGTGGAACGCGGTGGCTATGTGGAGCTGGGACGTGGAGTGCGATACGTGCGCCATCTGCAGGGTCCAGGTGATGGGTAAGCGCTACACGCGAGGCCGGGGCCCCGTTCCGGCCTCCGCCGGGCCGACTTGGAGTGGGGGACGGGGGAAGAGGGCTCCGAGAGACTTGGGTCGGCTGGAGTGGGGGCAGGGGTGCCGGAGCTAACAGTGCTGCAGCCGGCTTGAGGGCTGCTGCCGCCGCCGGGGGTTCCGCGGGCGCCCGGCGCCGGGAGCTGGTCTTGTAGTGAGAGAAACGGATTGTGAGCCCAGGAATTAGGGTAATTTCAGGTGGTGATGGGTGTGGCCGAGGAAATAAAACTGGGTCATTTGTTGGCAGCTAGGAGAAACCACTTGGGTTGGTGTGGCCCGCTCCGTCTCCAAAACCACACCGCAGAGGGGGTCAGAGTAAAGGCCCAGAATAAGGAGGGCACTTTAACGATTGTGGTCACACACCGAAGTGATGCTCTGGAGTCGTCCTCCACAAAACGACACCCTCAGTCCGCTCCTGAGAGGCGAAGGGAGGAAAAGTGTTGTAGCCGTTGCATTTTTGGATTAGCTCCTGATGTTCCGCAGTCTTTTTAAATCTGCACGCCTCAGGATGGGTCAGATGGCACTCCCATGTCTTGAAGGGGACACAGTGTGGTTCAGGAGTATATATGGTTCGCGGGAATTGAAGAATGTAAGCCCTTTATTCAGAAACATAAAATTTCATCTCCTTCTGGCCCCTCCCTATCGTAGGATGCCATTTCCTGAAGAAGATCTGACTTGCTCTGTGTCAGGCCTTTGTGGAGAACCCTCTTGTACAAATAAAGTCTTAACTTCTTTCTGTGATATTTCCGATCAAAATACTGGACCAAGTGAAACCCGGCAGAGCAGCTTCATCCTTTTATATTTTATATGCGCTCTGTTTTAAGATCTCAGACCACCTTGAAAAAGAGATGCTATCTAAATGCAAGTTACATTTTTAAATAAAGCATTTAAAATACTGAGAGAGTATTTCAGTGTTTCTTGGGGTAGGTGGAAAAAAAACTGAGGTTCTGTAGTTCGAAGACTTTGTGTTTTGCTCTGAAAAATGAGAGAATTGGAGAAAATAAACACAATTACTATCTCAAGGGATGAAATTTAAACCTACCAGAATCCAGAGATTCTCAATTTACACTCTCTATAATACACTCTTTTGTTTTTTATTCATAAAGCTTGTTTCAAAAAGGATTAACAAAAATGGGATTAAAATATTTTTTATTTCTTACTTTTGAAAGAACTTGATTTCAGACATGATCCACTTATTTTCGAATTAGGTCTTAAAAGTACCTAGTTTACTGGCCTGCAGTAAAGCCGCCTTACCCCACCCCTTATTCAAACTACAGTCATAATTTCCAGTTTATGTCCCATTGTTAACTTATCCAGACAATTTAATCTTTTCTTCTTTTGCAAGACAAGCTTTGCTAAATATTTTATCCTCAAAATTTTCTTTAGTTTAAAAAGAGGAGTGTTCGAGAAAGTGTGTTTTATATTTTTCCCCGAAGAAAAATTTTATATTTGTAAGTAGAAATACAGAATTCAGAATAATGGTTGAAATCTTGCAACAAATAAGCTTTACTGGGATATTTAGAGTAAGTCAAAGTATGGTTATAAATGGTTCACGTTAATATTAACATTCTAATTATAGCCAGTATTCTGCTACGGTGGATTATTTTTGCAGATTTACAATGGCTGTCCTTTGAGTTCAGGAAAGTATTCTGGACTAAACCTCTATATTTTGTTTATGAGGTGTTAAAATCCATTTAGTGGTCAGGTGACAGCAGAAGGAAGTTTGTTTTTCAGACTTCCCAAGCTTACCCTAGCAGCATCATTCTAAAAGGTGTTACTGTTATTGCACTCCTTAGAAATGTTGTTTTAGATCTTACGAATATCATGAAAAGAATTTTTTTTTAAAGATTTTATTTATTTATTTGTCAGAGAGAGAGAGAGAGAGCACACAAGCAGGCAGAGTGGCAGGCAGAGGAAGAGAGAAAAGCAGGCTCCCCATCGAGCAAGGAGCCCGATGTGGGACTCGATCCCAGAACCCTGGGATCATGACCTGAACCGAAGGCAGCAGCTTAACCAAATGAGCCACCCAGGCATCCCATGAAAAGAATTTTTTTAATTTTATCTAAAAATTCAGGAATTTTTAGATTTAGGTTGGGTTTTGATAATGAGTCTACAAGCGCAATCAAAATTGTAATCCAGAGATTTCTCGATTGTGCAAAGGAGCCCACTTAATTCTATTTCCTTAACATTTCAAATTCGTTTCTTACACCTAAACGATTTTTTTTGTAACTTCTTGATCCAAGATTTGCCTGTCAGCCTGTTCTGATGTGGTTAACACTCTCTTCTTTGGTTTCCACTCTTCTCCCTTCATTCTGAAAGGGGCAGGTGGCAGTGACCCAAGTATTGAAGAAGAGGAAAATAGGTTTGCTAGTTCTGTTGAGTTCTAAAGAGCTGGAGTAACCCTTCATGGCTATTTATGTTAACTTGGACATTTGACATACCTTTTGGAGTCTTGTTTTCCTAATTTGTGAAAGAGGTAGTTGGGGTCACAGACTATAATTCTATGATTACACAGAACCAGAGCCATGTCTTCACCCTTATATCATGATCCTTATGATATTTAGTTGTTTGCCTGCCTACCTCCCCATTTCCTGGTGAGACCAGGGACCCAGACTCAGTCATTTTGGTGTCCCCAGTGCATAACTCCTTATACAGAGTAGATACTCAGTAATTGTGGGATTGAAGAAAGCCTCAGGAGGCAGTGGTTGTTTTTAATCCACATCGAAGAGGCCAGGGTGGTGTGTTTTTTTAGGGTAAGAGCATGCAGAGAGGAGCAAACAAATGCCTGAGCATAATCCAATGTAAGAAGAGGAGCAGGCTTCAACTCCACTGTGTATCTATTTTTACAGAATTCTTTTTCTCCAATTTATGTTAAAAACTAATTTTTTTTTCTGTTGGTTTGAATTTCCTTTTACCCGTCTTGGACTCCTCTTCCAGCTAGTGAATGAATCCATTTTGGGGGGTCCCACTATTTTATATTATCTCCTTCATGAAGCAAATAGTAGTAGAGTGAATTTGGAAGACTTCTATTATACCCTTTAGGTTCCCATTTCTAGAATTTACTCCCAAATAAATTATTAAAATACTTTGCCATTGTTAGATAAATGCTTTGGACTCAGACATATTCATAAAGGGAGGATTTCTTTTCCTTTGCTTTGCTTTGCTTTTTTTTTTCTTTCCTTTTTTTTTTTTTAAAGAATTTATTTTTTATTTATATGACAGAGATCACAAGTAGGCAGAGAGAGAGGAAGGGAAGCAGGCTCCCCACCAAGCAGAGAGCCCGATGCAGGGCTCCATCCCAGGTGCCCCTTTTTCTTTCCTTTTTTTAAAGATTTATTTATTTGTGTGAGAGAGAGAGAGAGAGAACGAGCAGGAGAGCACAAGTGGTAGAGAGGGAAAAGGAGGCTCCCCATCGAGCATGGTGCCTGATGCCCCAGGACCCTGGGATCATGACCTGAGCTGAAGGCAGACACTTAACCAACTGAGCCACCCAGGAGCCCCAAGGGAGCATTTTCTTTAAAAAGAAAAAAAGAGAGAGACAACATAGTATTTAAGAGGTTCTTTAAAAATTAGTATTTTAATTTTTGTATAGATCATATAGTCACATAATTCAGAATTTTAAGAAAATATACAGTGAAAACTCCTTCCCACCATCCCCTTTTTGGTAGACTTTATTACTAGTTACTTGGTATTCTTCTGGAGTTTCTTTATGTGTGTATAAGCAAATACCAATATATATGCATGGCTTACCTAATAAAATGGTATCTTGAAAATAAACTGCCCTTAAGGTTGATCTATGTGATCATGCCCAGTGAGTTTATATGAACTTCTAATATATAATGGAGTATGGCATATTTTTCTGTAGTGATTGCATGCACCTTGGGGACATCTTCTCATCAGAGCTTGTGAAAATAGAGGGTCTGTAACCCTTGTGAAATTGCTCCTGGTCATAAGTAAATAAGTAAAGTGCCTTGTACTTTATTCGTCTTTAAACAATTATGTTCAGATGAGAAATTAATAATATGGGTCTCTTATATCCATCTCTAACCCTTTGGGCTTTTATTTGACTTTGAAGTGTCTGGGTTTTAAAAATTGCATTCTGAGCATCAGAATGAGAATTGCTATTTGTTTATTTTTAGATGCCTGTCTTAGATGTCAAGCTGAAAACAAACAAGAGGATTGTGTTGGTATGTTGTAATTTCATTCTCTTGCTTTTCCAACTGAAGGTTTTCTCTCAGTGGGGATGTTTGAATTTGCAATCAAGATTGACTTTATCAATACACAAAAATAAACTGTAAAGCAGTGATCCATTATTAATATAAAATGTGTTGGTTCTCTAAAGGCCTTAATGGAATTAATCTACCAGTCCTTTTATTTCCTGTAATTAAGAATTGATTACATATTCTAGATGTGGGTGTGATAAATATTTCATATTCTAAAAAGAAATCATTCTTTTCTATTAAGAAAATTATGAAGTAAGGAATTTGCCAAAACATCTTAAATTTAACTGTATTATAGGTTAGATTTGGTAGGGTTTTATTCTAATAAAGCACTTCAGTTTTCAGTACTCTTATGATATAATATTTAACTTTTCAACTAACAGAAAAAATTTTAAGTCTCAAGATTTTTTCCAATATAGTTTATATATGGAAATCTATTAAATCTTCTTAATAGTCTGGGACTACAAAAGTTGTCTTAAGCTAAACGTTTTAAGCAGTTCAAAAGTTTTTATGTCCTAGATCTTGAAGTCATCACTTCTAGATTGCTATATATAAAAGCTTTTCTGAAGATGAAAGGTTAACTTTGTACTTTGTGTTTGCATGGTTTATATACAACATCTTAATAATGATTTATGTCGTATTTATTAAATCCTGTTTTTTCATCCTGAAACACTTAGAATGATTTCCCCTTGTTTCCTACTCCCTATAGCTAATTTTCATAAGAAGATGTAGGTTTCTTTCATGGTTTTTTTTTTTTCCTATTTCTTTCATTGTTTTGTTATGATGTAGGTTAAGGAAGTGACAAATAAAACCCACATTTGAGACTGTATTTCAGATTATGGGTGATTTCCCTTGGTTTAAAAAATACTAACAGAAATTGTGAGGTTCAGGCCACCTTTCTTTGACCACAAAGAGACCTATCTCTCTTTCCAGCTACCCACTTTGAAAAGTTAATGTATTTGTCACATCAGGAATTGCACTGCTTATGGATGACTTAACACAGTTCATCACTACTTTTGGAAAATAACTCACTAGATGTACAACTAATGTTTCGAAGCGTGGCATCTATTTATAATAGACTACTATGAACTGAAAACATTTAAAACTCATTATCTTGGTAAATCAAAATCAGGAGGCTGTTTCTTCGTAAAGTAAAACTCAAAAGGTTTCCAGGTCAGTGTATGACTGAGAAGTTCTGGGATCTAAGGAAGGCTCAAGTTCTTTAATCTCCTAACTTCAGGAAGACAGCATATAGAGCTGTGTAGGGGCTGGGGGCCACCACATCACCCACAGATTCTAAACAATGCTGGAAAGTCCCCTAATCACAGCGCCTCATCTCACTTCTTAAGTGTAATTTACACAGGTAAGTTTTTATTTCTTTATAGGTAGAAAAAATGTTGACCAATTAGCCATCTTGATTCAAGATCATGAACCATGATTATTTGTAGTAACATAAAATAACCTATGATTTGAGTTCAGTAATTTAACTTAAAATATGTAATGTCAAATAATCTTTTTTTTTCTCCTTTCAGTGGTCTGGGGAGAATGTAATCATTCCTTTCACAACTGCTGCATGTCCCTGTGGGTGAAACAGAACAATCGCTGCCCTCTCTGCCAGCAGGATTGGGTGGTCCAGAGAATCGGCAAATGAGAGTGGCGGAAGGCTTTCGTAGTGCATTTATTTGGAGCCCTGGTGGATCTTGTTATCAAGTGCCCTACAAAGGCCAGGACACTCCAAGGAACTAATTCTTCAAGTAGGAGGAGATGACTCTGTGGTCTTTTGGTACTCATCAGAGGCATGGTTCGGCATTTTGTTAGTTTTATTTTCAGAAATTCTCTACTATTAAGAAGATAATTTATTAAAGATGGTCTTTCCTACCTCTGTGGTATGTGTCACACACACTGCTTAGAAGTGCTTTAAAGGAGGAGAGAGCTACAAATTGAATGACTTCATAATTTTCTTACTGATATCCAAGGGCTGTGGAAGCAGTTCCATTCGGAAGAGAACTTGTTGCATGCTTATAGTCGATCAGTTAAAAAAAAAAAAAAAAAGACAATGTTACAGTAACAAATAAAGTGCAGTTTAAAACCCAACTCTTATCCTCAATTTGTCCCTGATATTTATTTTTGGCGGGAGGGGGTGATTCATGAACTCTTTATTTGATATAATGAAAATTTTAAGTTTGGACCAGTGAACAGGGTAAATAAAATTTAACCTTTGGGCATATGCAATTTCAGTTGTCTTTCAAGCTATCATCCTCTGTCTTGGGCTCATCAAGAAAACCTAAATTTACATTCACCTCACTGCTCAGTCATTGGATGATAAAGAACAGAAGTATTTTCAAGTTCTGGTCAGATTATGTTGTAATTAAACTGTGTTTTGGGTGGAATGTTAATGAGGAGAAAATGTTTACCACTGTAGCATTGGATCAAAGAGTTTATTTTATTACACAATGTTTTAATAAATGGTTTATTCTGTTTATTTAATTTGAATTGTCATTATTACAATTTTACGTACAACCTTAAACTTCATGTTAATAAACTAATATGTTAAACTGAATGATTTTACTTAATTTGAAAAAATATTCATATACTCTTATTTGGTAAAAAATAAAACTTAAAGTTTATTACCTGGAAAAATTAAGTGTGAGAATATACTTAAATTTTATTAAACTCATTCACATTTAATGGAGGTTATTTGGCAACAGATAATGGGCCACAAGTTTATTTTGATTTTTTCCATAATAAAGGTCACAGCTATGAATTTTAAAAACTAAAGTCTTGGGGCACATGGGTGGCTCAGTGGGTTAAGCCTCTACTTTCTGTCTGGGTCATGATCTCGATGTCCTGGGATCGAGCCCTACATTGGGCTCTCTGCTCAGCAGGGAGCCTGCTTCCCCCTCTCTATCTGCCTCTCTGCCTACTTGTGATCTCTCTTTCTGTGTCAAATAAATAAATAAAATCTTTCAAATAAAAACTGAAGTCTTAAAAACTTTATCATCCATTTCTGCAGTTTGTCAATCTGAATCTTGTATCTAAGGAATGTGAATACACAAAAGAATGTTAAAAACTAGAATTCATAGGCTTTCATATTGGCTACTATTAATCTGATTTCTCTGGAAGTTATTGCTTTATTATGTATTTTTTCATATTTTACTGAAAAACTTACTACAATGTAGGGGTAAAGCATCTTTCTATCATAATATCAAGGGTAATACTATCAACATGATTTATTGACGATCATGATGACCTAGATTACTTGTCTGGATTTTTGGTCAAGCTTTTTTTTTTTTTTTTTTTTTAATTTTATTTTTAAGTTTTTTTGTGTGTGTGTTTTTGTTTTTTTTTTTTTTATTTGTTTTTGAGAAAAAGAATACACGGTGGGGAGAGGCAGAGAGGGAGAGAGAGAAGCAGACTTCCCACTGAGCAGGGAGCACAATTCGGGGCTCAATCCCAGCACCCGGAGACCCTGACCTGAGCTGAAGGCAGACACTTAACCAACTGTGCCATCCAGGCACCCTGATTTTATTTATTTTCGAGAGCATGCAAGCAGGGGAGGAGCAGAGGGAGAGGGAAATAATCTCCAGCAGACTCCATGCTAAGCACGGAGCCCAACACTGGGCTCAATCTCAGTTTCCTGAGATGATGATGAGCTAAAAACCAAGAGTCAGATGCTTATCTGACTGAGATACCCAGGCACCCAAATCAGGCTTCTTTCCTATAGAGTTACTCTTTCCCTTTTTCCATAACGGCATTCTTAGGGAGAATGTCACTAAGGGAAGATAACGCTTAGGGAGTGGGAGTTAGACTTCTACTTCTCAAGGATAGAGTATTCCATTTTTTTGAATTCTTCAGCATAGGATATTTATCTTTTCTCCATTTATTTAATCACTTAATCTATATCAGTGAGTAGTGATAAATCCTTTTGGAAAGATTAAAACATCAATTCCATGGAAATGAAGGGTTCTTAGACTATTCTGGATAGAACACCATTTATGTAATGATACTTGTGTAAGGAAGGATGGGGGGTAAAGACATAACAGGGAAAACAGTTTAAGCAACATATTCCAAACACATTATAGATTAAATCCCGAAGTTTAATCCCACTTTAAACATCTCATTTTGAGGTCTCCAGAAATCATAGCATATGCATGCCAGAATCTTTCCCAACATACTAATATACACAAAACTGAACATTAGAATGAAGTTCTAGCTGGTTGCTTTTCAATCTATGATCCTTTATTACACTTCAGATCTTCAAATTAGATTTTTTTTTTTGCCTTAGGTAAACCTAAATAAACATTAAATTGATGCATAACATGTCATTAATTTAAAAAATGATTTGGGTTGGGTTTTTTTTTAAAGAAAACCATGTAATTAACATCATATCTTACAGAAAACTGAGAGCTATAAGTATATTACTAGCAAAGACTTTAGAAAAGTTATTATATGAGTTTACATATGATAAATGTCTCTATTGAACATCTGCTGAAACCTTAGAATTGAGTAGATTTGAGGATAAATATGGAGGTAAAGACCTAGAGGAATGACAAAGTGGGAAAATTCCCCTATAGAGATGTAGTTATTTCAAGCCACTACCTCTGCCCCAAACCGTATATCACAACACATTCTACATACTCTGACTTCTTCAGGGATTTTCAATTGAAGAATCAATACAAAGAGAAGAATGAAAATAAAGCAAAAATATAACATTAATGGCAGTCAACCTGGAGAAACACAGTATTGCATCATAAAAGATTAAAAAATGTGGGGCACCTGGATGGCTCAGTCGTTAAACATTTGCCTTTGGCTCAGGTCATGATCCCAGGGACCTGGGATTGAGCCTGGCATCGAGCCCCCTGCTCAGCAGGAAGTCTGCTTCTCCCTCTCCCACTCCTCCTGCTTGTGTTCCCTCTCTCTCTGTCAAATAACTAAATAAAATCTTCAAAAAAAAAAAAAAGATTAGAAAATATTACCTAAAGACATATAATTTACTGAATGTGAAAGAAAAATTTAAGTGTGTTTTCTTGCATTCCTCTTCAGAATATTTAGAGTAAGTAGCACATAAAATGTTTGCAGTACAGTGTAGTGTATACATAGAATATAGGTTTTATACTTCTAGTACAGATTTGTCATTTTACGGTAGTAAATTATATATAATATATAGTACAATGTATTACAAGTAAAGATAGATGGTTAGATAGTACTGCTTTTTGCTTGTGATAGGACTTCTTGCTTAGAGAAACATTGAAGCTGCTAGGTGTATTCTTGCCATTTGGTATTGTTTCAAAGATTCATGGACTCAAGTTAACTGTTGAGACATATGCTAAGAAAATAGGCACTGAATAAGATGTTACATTGCATCTCAAATGAGGAATACATTTAGGGAGTAAAACTTGAACGCATTTTTAAAATTGGCATTGTATACTACTGTTTCTTTTTCTCCTCTGAGGAAGTCATTAATAATCATGCTGTTTCCTCCTAGTAAACTTACGTTGACATTAACCATTCTGTTTTAGGCACATGTTCTGTGGATGCAGAGAAAGATTTAGGATGTGTACTAGTCAAGCAGCTCAGAAATTACTCTCTCACAGATGACTGAGCACCAATACAGATAGCTTAGTGATCAGCCTTACATTTCCATAGTAGTAGTTTGCCAAGGAGACAGTCCAGCATACTATTTTCTCTGTATATAGAAAAAAAAAACAAGTATTCCTTTTTCTTAACTGGATTCAGTCTTTTTGCAATGACTGAAATTTAAAAATAAATCTCCACAGAAGCCAGTTATTACAGTTATAAATATATTGGTTCACAATGGGAAAATAAGATTCCATTTCAAATGCCCCACTCCCCAAAATACAAAGCATATTTCAATTCAAATTTGTTGAACTTAGATTTGGCTTACTTTAAGCACAATGTGTATATGGATGTGTAAGTGTAATATGACACATGTATTCATCCATTCATTAAACTCACTGTTCTCATTGTTCAGGTATATAAAAGAATCAGAAAAGTAATCTCCTTGAAGGATAATTTTGTTTTATACGAAGATGTTTGAGCTACAACTGGAAAATGTCGTGTCCCCAATGCAGCAATCAGAAAACACATTTGTAGACAGGACAGTAAAGAGTTGGATAGTGGAGTGACTGAGTAGAAATTGATGAGAAAACCACTGAAACATAATATCTATTTCTAGAAGAAAATAAATAACATGGGAAGGATGAATGGATGGAAAGCTTGAGGAAAGCTCTGTGAACCAAAGAATGGGGAAGAATGACATCCTTTACTATGTAGTAGACATTGAGAAATCAGATATCCATAGTTAATATCTATATTATATATTATATATAAATATATAACTATATTATACAGTTAATATCTATATAGTTAATATCTATAGTTAATCCTTTACAAAAATTATATAGGCACAACTATGTTAAAACAGTATGCCTAATCTAACAAGACTAGTGTGATAGTTACATAGGAGTTGGGCATTTACAGTAAGATCAGTAGAACTATATTTAACAAATAAGTTACTATAAAGGGAGTAAAAATAGTGATTATGAAGGAGGTTGTATAAATTATATTTAATTCCCTTTAGTGTGCATAATTTAGACTTCATGCCTCACTTTTAAGTTTTTTAAATGGATTTGACTATGTTGCATTTATAACACACTTTTGAATTATAAGTTATTACTGTCCTTATTTGAAAGTCAAGAGAGCTGAAATGTCAAGAGAACTGACCTAGTAACATGTTAACAGATTCCAACCAAAATCTGTCTTTTGGATTTTTAGGGGCATCTTGTTTCAGCTTAGAGTAGCAGCTGGAAAGAGTGTTGCTCCCCTCTTTGTAGTTTATTCAGATTGTTTTTCTTTTTTATAAATTAATGACACTTCCAGGGGCACCTGGGTGGTTCAGTGGGTTAAGCCTCTGTCTTCGGCTCAGGTCATGGTCTCAGGTCCTGGGATTGAGCCCAGCATCGGGCTCTCTGCTCAGCAGGGAGCCTGCTTCCTCCTGCCTCTCTGCCTAGTTGTGATATCTGTCTATCAAATAAATAAAATCTTTAAAAAAAATTAATGGCACTTCCAAATAATTTTTTTCCATTTTTCTTTAAGATTACATTTAGGCTTTTTAGTTTGCGGGGTGTGTGTGTGTGTTATGCGGCGTGTATGTGTGCGTGCATGTGTCCTTTCAGAACTTAACAGAACTTATTTCAAGTTCTGTTATTGAAGATGCTTTTCTAGGTCATATTTAATGTAATAATTTTCCTAATGTTGATTTTGTAAAATATATTGAAACATTTGTGTATTGATTAGAAATGAATTTTCTTTCATGTTTTTCATAATCCTGGTTATGTAGTATATGCATATTAAATAACAGTAGATTTTTTAAAATTAATTATAATACACAAATATGTTTGACCACTCAAATGTTTATCATTGTACAGTGAGCTAATTGAATAGCTTTTTGTTTTGATGTTTTTAAA